ACGGCCAAGCCACCAGACTTAGCAGTGCGATTTGTTACGGCCAAGATTAGGCCAGAAAGAGCTGCAAGAAAGAGCCGCCAAGACGCGGCACTACGATTTAGTACGGCCGAGAATGCGCCAGAAAAAGCCACTAAGACCCGGCTGTACGATTTGTTACGGCCAAGAGTGGGCTAGAAAGAGCCACCAAGACCCGGCAGTACGATTTGTTACCGCGCCGAGAGTGGGCCAGAAATAGCCACCAAGACCCAGCAGCACGATTTGTTACGGTCAAGAGTGGGCCAGAAAGAGCCACCAAGACCCGGTTGTACGATTTGTTACGGCCAAGAGTGGGCCAGAAAGAGCCACCAAGACCCGGCAGTACGATTTGTTACAACCAAGACTATACCAGAAAAAGCCATCATGACTCGGCAGTAGCTTGCCGTGAGATAGTCGTGTACACCGGCGGCGGTTCTCATTGCTTGCATGAAAGACGCCCGAGGCCTGCTCGGGGCGTGACATCCACGACGTTTTCCTCGAAGGTCCACTTGACACCATCACTTCGAGGCCAACACAACGGCAACAAATCGTACTTCTTAGCACTGTGGCATCGTTGCGAGGCCAACGGCAACAAATCGTACCTGTTAGTACTGGGGCATCGTTTCGAGGCCAAAGCAACCTCAACAAATCGTACTTCTTGAAACTGGGGCATCACTTCGACGCCAAAACAACAGCAACAAATCGTACTTCTTAGCGCTGGGGCACCACCAAAACAACGGCAACACATCGAACGTCTTAGCAGTAGGGCATCACTTCGACGCCAAAACAATGGCAACAAATCTTACTTCTTAGCACCGGGGCATCACTTCGCAACCAAAACAACGGCGACAACTCGTGTGTCTTAGCGCTGGGGCATCACTTCGAGGCCAAAAGAACGGCAACGAATCGTACTTCTTAGCACTGGGGCATCATTTCGACGCCAAAACAACGGCAACACATCGTACTTCTTAGCACAAGGGCATCACGTCGTTGGGGCATTACATCGAGGCCAAGAAACGGTAACAAATCGTACTTCTTAGCACTGGAGGCATCACTCCGAGGCCAACACAACGGCAACAAATCGTACTTCTTAGCACTGCGGCATCACTTCGAGGCCAAATCGGCGGTCACAAATCGTGCTTCTTAGCACTGGGGCATTACTTCGAGACCAAAGCAACGGCAACACATCGTACTTGTTAGCACTGGGGCACCACTCCGCGGCCAAAGCAACGGCCACAAATCGTACTTCTCAGAACTGGAGTATCATGTCGCGGCCAAAACAATGGCAACAACACGTACTTCTGAGCACTGGGGCATCACTTCGAGGCCAAAACAACGGCAACAAATCCTACTTATTAGCACTGGGGCATGACGTCGAGGCCAAAACAACGGCATCATTTGCTTGTTGATTGTATCTTGCATTCTGGAAGAGCTTGGAAACGTCCATTGAATTTTTCAGACCATGTGGGCCTCAGACCTTGAGGCCATCAATTCGCTTCGTTTGGAGGGCACGTGGGCACAAAGGGGCAATGTCGAGCTGGGCATCAATGCGCCATGAGAAGGCGCGCTTCTTCGAGCTTATATAGATCTGCATTTTGGGCGGTTGCGCTGCAGCGCCGAAGCGACAGCCGAAGAGGCAACCACGCACCGTCCAGCCAAACGCAAGCAATACCTCAAGTTAAGGAAGCCTCAATGTCGCTGAAGCACCGCTGCCATCGTTCTCCGAAGGGTTGGGTACCTAGCGCGCGGACAAACTGAACAGCCTGTCTGCAATGTTGCTTACCTAACCCAGCTCTTGGCTACAAGCATTAGATTCCGCGAAACAAGAGCCGCCAGAGCGTAACAGCCCCTGTGTGAGCCTTGATTTAACGCAGCCCCATGTCGTATTGCAGCTTTCTCATCGATGTTGGGCCAGTGTATAGGATGACACCTTGAGAGGTGCCCAGATTTCACGGGCGGCGGCCGTACAGAGTCAGGATTGCAACACCAACACCGTGAGAAAAGATACCTGGCAAAGTCAACACGGGCCAAACGTCTTGCGGATGATCGTACATGCATAAAGGATAGTGTAACACTGCTTCCGTCCATGCATAGCCAAACACAAGCACGTACGTCATTCGGACGATGCATCAGCGAAGTTGCACTGACAAACTGCGACAGACCGAGTACTTCCCGACAGCCCGGAGACATGTTGTGGCAGAACACAGTCCAGGGATCTGAATTCCTTGTGAAACTTCGCAAGCCCATGGAAAGCGCATCCATCGTAGAGCAAGCTGAGACTAGATCTCGTCTGATGACCGGCTCAGGCCACGCTGGCTCAGGGGGTCTTGAACAGCATCACGCCTCAATGCAAAACCAAGCTCCCTGCATTTCTGACTCGGCGCTTCCGAGGAATGGACCCATCTGACCGATGTAGAAGTAGCCTCGGAAACTCGGGCAGTGGGATGTGCCGGACGCAATGGTTTTTGGAGTTGTCAAAGAGCTCGGCAGTAGCAGGCTTTCTCGTGTGTTACCTGTTTCAGATGCCAGAGTCAGTGTCGCAAACTCTCAGCCTGCTCAGCTCAGGAATGCACGTAGCTAGAGAAGTGGCGGCCGACCATACAGTGCCACGTGGGGCCATACCTGAGCGGAAGATTCCTCGGGGTCCGAATCGGGGCTGGGAACGGGTCGAGCCGTGGACTCAGTCTCGAATTGCTCCTTCAAGTCCGAGGCGATGTCCTTCTCCAGGTTGTGCTTATCCATCGCGATCCTGGCGGCTCTGAAGGGCCTCTGCTGGCAACTCGCAGCCATGGCAGCTTGCAAATTCCTTTTTTTTTTTTTTGGCCCTAGTCGCGTCTTAAGCAGCCTGTCTCAGCATCGGAGATGGCGCCACACGGTGAAACGGCTCACTTCAAGATGTCATGTCCGAGGCAGAGCTTGTGGGATCTCAAACACAACTTGCACCTCAGCGACGGCAACAGAAGTCCAAAGCCAGAGCTGGGCGTGAGCTGAGCTGGCCACTTGTAGGGCATGATCTGCCCAGGGTCGGGCCTGATACCGAGAGAGCCCCGCCGAAAGCTGAGCCGATTCCCACTATCGCTTCGCCTCTGACGCACGCGCAAGTCTTGGCTTTCGCCGGTGTTTGCCTAAGTGAGCACTCAGGGCTCCTGATCAGCCTCAGGCGTAAGTGAGTCGAGAAGCAGCAGCATAGATCCGGAAGCGATCCGCTGCCTCTGAAGGCATCAGCATTCAACAACCATTCAACAACATTCGCAGACTCCTTCCGAGACTCTCCGACTCTCCCATCCCCGCGCCTCGCCCCAGCGTTGAGGCATATACGCTAGGTCTCCCTCCTTCCTGTCAGCTGAGACCCTTTTTGGCCAAGGGCTAAAAAGAGCTCCAAGGCCCTTGCCGGATGTCCCTCCGGGAGGAACTGCCTTGCAGGAAGCCAAAAACACCCGCAGCTGTGCAGCGGGAGGAGTTTCTACCTCCACCGGCCTGACACGGTCTGCAGCCGCTGAGGCTTCCGCGTCTGACACGGTCATGTCACGGGTCTCTCCTCCCTCTCTCTCTGAAAAGCCGCCGCGCCGCACTTAAACCCCAATTCCGCGAACGAGCCGCCAGTGAAGGTGCCGAGGAAGCGCGGGCGATGCTCGGCACCTGAACTCGCGTTGGAGGCTACACCAAAGCTTTGTCACAAGGAGCTCGGGGGCACGGGCCGTTGCAGCCGGAGCCGGAGCCGGGGAAAGATCCTCAAAGCTCGCAGCGTTCGCAGCGTTCGTGTGTGTGTAAATCCGCTGGCTGCCAGGGTGCCAAAGCCATGGCAGCTGGATGCTCGGCTCCTGCAGCGGCAATCGCTTCCCCAGCCACTAAACACCTCAAAAAACCGCGTCCTCGCCGATGCTCCTCCTCATGCTAGGCAGCGACATGACATGCCGGCAGCAGTAGCACCAATGTGTCACTCGCGGCACTCTCCTCTGTAGCCGGCACGTGTGTCAACTGCTCCTTAGACGGGCTCCCAGGCCTTGCTGTAAATTAAACCCAGCTCTCGGCCCTGCACCAAGCGTAACGTCCCCAACTCTCGCAGAGACTTGGCAAACCTGCGCTAACGCATGGAAAGCGTGAACGTCTACGAGACACGGTGCGGCTTGTCTTTTTCTAACTTCACATACCCGTCCTTTCAGTCAACACGGTCTTGAAGATGTAGGACTCACTGTGCTTCCCGCAATGAGGTCCTCAAAACGATGTGGACACGGCAAGAATCTGTCTCCACTGGCCACTGCAGTGTCCTTTCTCGAAGCTTCGCCTCCGCTCACTGCGAAAACGCGAGCGCAGTTCCCTTTGCATGATCGCTCCAAGCGCGCCGGCGGTTGCAGGCTGTTGCACAGAAAGTTCCCTCTGCTGTGGCTTGTTGGATTGGAAGATGGCCAGAATCCATGGCCACAATCTTGCTTTGGCCCAAAAACGCACACGAAACTGCTACAAGTGGCCAATCCATCTCGGCTTCGTCGGTTTCCTCGACACCTGATCATGCAAGCACGCATGCACGCACCCACACTGTTGAAATATACACCCCAGAGCGGGAGTTCTCTTGGCTACATGCGCGGTTCAAGACCACGCGTTGCTGCACAGAAAGAGGGCTGCTGTAGGGATAATTTGGCTTCATAAAGTTGCATGAGCCTTGCATGCTACTTTGGGATAGTTTGTGCGGATCATTGCTGCAGCGTACTTTCACATGGTAGAAGACGAAGCTGCACTGGTCCTCAATATTGGGCTGAGAAAGGCACACAGGTTGAAGAATGCATGTGGTCATCAATGAGCGCACAAGCTCACCCCTTTCCGATTGCTCAAGTCTCAGATCTTCGGACTGTCCCTCAAAAGGGGCGCCCTTGTCTGATGAACCTCCAAAACGGCACAACTGAGTTTGCATCGTCGGAACAGAAGGGCACCAACCCGAAGATGCTAGGGGATCGCCCTCAATGTGGTGATCGACGGCCTGTGTAGCAAGTCTTCCAAGCTTCTTGCCTTTTTTGGCAGCAGTGAAGTACATTAGCTAACACTTCCATTCCGGCACCACGCCGGGACACCGCCAAGGATTCGTAGCAGCTAAGCAGAAGCTTTAGCTGATGACCTAGCCGTTCGTGCAGACACTCACTCTTTTTAACTGTGTGGCGAGAGTTCCCTGTCGCCCGCAGAAAATCTCTAGCCTCCAGGCTAGCTGATCTCCAAGGCAGGATGGGTGGGCACTTCAAATTTGCCCCCCCTAGACATCTCTTTAGCACAATTGCCACGGACATAGCATGTTCGTTCTCGGCCATGTGAACCCCAATAGCTCGAATGCTTCGAACTAGCGGAAACATCTGCGATGTGTTCCTTACGATGTTTCTAGAGACGGAAGGTTGGCGCTAGCATGCACTGTCGTACCTCGTACCTCAGCTACTGAGCTGGGCACCTTCACGGTCGTCGTCTCGCCGAGGCTTGCGGGTTTCTTGGCTAACCGGCACTGGCAACACCCTTGTGCATGGACATTCTCCTGACACTCGCGGCGAGCTCGGTCGATCTCCTTGGGGTCGTTGCTCAGCCAGCCCGCCAGCCGTTGCAGGCGAGGATTGCACTCGCTCTAGGCGGCTGTCTTGATTAGCCACGTGCAATATTGTGGCTGATGCACTTTCACTTCCTCGTAAGTCAAGCTGCTGAACTTCGAAGCCGACCGCATCGGTCGGGTCCGGAGTGGCCCGGTCGTACACTCTGAACATTGCCTCCCTCTTGATCTGCAGAGCTCCTCCTGGCAGAACTTCACGAGGTCGGACTTGAGCCTGGAGGCACGATTGAGCCCTTCGACCAAGGTCTGGTACTCTGAGGCCTCTTGTGCCTTCTTCTTCGGCATTCTTGCCCGTCAACTCCTCGATGCGCTGCAGAAGTTCCACCTTGGTCCATCGCAGGGGAGGCGACTCTCTCCTAGGCCGGAGTGTAACCCCTCTCCTGATCTATACAACTGTCCCTTCCCTTTCTCGTCAGGAGCCACTGAGGGAAGGAGCTGTCCCTACTCTTCGGTGGGACTCTTTGGTAAAAAGTCGCTCAGCAACGGAAAATCACGGTCTACGAAACAAGAGTTCTTGCACAAGTCCTGGTCCAATGAGAGGATCTGATGGCCGGTCGAGGATCGCTCGAGTCGTATCACCTTGTGTCGACTCAGCTTGCTCAGAATCATCAGGTCATTGGCGAAGTCGATCTGGGCACCCATTTTCCGGAGGGCATCGATGGATAGAAGGTCCTTGTCCGCGGTTTCAACGCGTGGATTGGCGTCTGCCCTGGCTGGCCTTGCGCCTCCAGGGCCATGATTATTGTGGAAATGCATCGATCGGAATTCGAGTTCCCAAAGCCGAAACGGGACGCGTCCCTGTCCACCTGATGACGTAGATGGATCCCAAGCTCTTGGTAGCACCCGAGTCAATGACGCACTTCCCTTGATCGACGGCTTCGGCCGTCGACTGCACCGTCTGTTCACTCCATGCAGTCTCCTCGTCGACGTTCTCCAAGTACATGGCCGCGTGCTCCTCCATGGCGTCCGCGTACATGACGAAGGGGGCCTCCTCCTGGATCACATTCGCGGAGGCCTTGGGTGGATTGGGACAATTGCTAGCCCGATGCCCGATCTTGCCACAGGCCAAACACGTCATTCCGCTATCATCTCGTGGTCGAGGTGGTGCTCGGAAGCCCGAGCTTCGATTGCTGCTCCAGTAGTACTGCCTGTTCATCTTCACATTATGCTGCTTGGGTCGGGGCTCGCACAGTGCCCTTCACGCTCCCTGAAGCGCTGCCATGGCACTCTCCATTTCGTCCTTGGCGGACGAGCTGCTGGAGACAAGCAGCCACAGATAGCTTGCGGGCCGTGCCAGCGAACAGGTAAAGCACTCGTGGCGGGCGCCTCTCTTCGGAGGGGGTCGGCACCGCTGTAGGCAGCTGCAGCTGGCTGCTGCGGTCCATGGTGCAATCTGAAGCATTCGCACTAGCGCCTGCCTTAGCCGGCGGGGCTTTCTGGTGGCACTTGGTAGCGGGGTGCTTGCCAAAGCATAGCATGCACACGTGTGCAAAGTGACAGTTGTCACCGTTCTTGCACCCCTTACCATTTTAGCGGAAGCAAGGGAAGCAGTAGCCATGACCCTGTATGCGTGCTTTCTGATAGCGTGCTCATAGCTCAAGACCACCCGAGTCCTCGCTGACCGTGAGGCGCAGCCTTGGCTGCTCCGGCCCACAGGGCAGTGCGGTCTTGGAGCCACCCATCTTGATCGATAGCGTGCCTGTGGAATCCCTGTTAAAGAACGGGGTTCACTACGGGTTCCTATCCCACAGCACTGCGGCTCACTTTTAGCTGCACCGCACTGGTGTGTCTGGGTCCTTGAGCCTTGGTGCGAAGGCACGCTCAAGTTGTGCCTGTACATGTACTTGTAGTGCAACTTTTGCCTTTCCTCGTCTTCCTTCTCCATTTTCTCCTGCTCTCTCTTCTTCCTCTTTTCCTCTTCCTGTTCTCCCACGCGTTCCCAGTACTTTGCGTCTTCCTCGTCCTTGGGAACGAATCCTGACCTCTTTTCATTGTTCTTTCCCTTTCCTCCTTTCTTGGCGTACTCCTCCTGGCCTTTTCCTTTCTCGTGGGCGTACGCGTAGTCGTAGTCGTACCACTCCATTTCTCCTGTGTTGTGGGATTCTCTCCATATATGGCCATTCTCCGTGTGGTGCTTGAACTCTTGGCTCATGTCCGTCGGGTACACGAAGTTCATTTCTCTTTCCTTTGACATCGCTGTTTTCATCCTGATTTCCTGGTCGACTCTTTTGACCCTGGCCTTGATGTCCTCGTCGCTTTCCTTTGGTGGCTTTTCTTCCTCCTTTGGGTACTCCTCTTCTTCTGGTCCTGTGTAGCTCTGGGTGTGGTACTCGTTCTCGTTCTGCTTGAAGAGTGCCTGGTCGTAATACTGTTCCTCCTGCTGGTCAGGTAGAGCTTTGGGTAGGCCTTGGATGTTGTACGTCTCGGCGTCGCTGCTTGGTCTGCTGCGCCAACTTGGTCTCCGTGCTGGTCGAGTGCGATAGCGATCGGTGTCCTGTGTGGCTTCAGTGGAGGACGGTATGCCTTGCTCCCCATGGGGATGCACCGTTTGTAATGCCTCAAGTTCTCTTGGAGAAAGGATGAGGCTGGGCGACCGTCTCGTGGCTGCCGATGTTGCTTTTGCAGCTTGATGGCGACCAGCAGCTTGATCCCAGGAGCTCGACTGCGACCAGTAACTTGTCCTTGCTCGAGTGCAGCGAACGCATTGAATACATCGTCTGGTTTTTGGACGTTCTTGATTTGGATGTTAATCTCCATGGCGCAGGCGAGCGGACCAAGTCTGTGCCCTACACTTTTTAGTCCTTAGCCCTAAAACGTACTGAAGGAAAGAAAAGTATGTGTGCAATCATCATGTTCTTTCAAGCGTATTTCAAGATCTCAAGATCGGCGTCACTGCACACTTCAAGATCAGCGTCTCCGCACATTTCAATACGTGTCAATAAGCGTGAACTCAATAGACTTTCCCATTCAACTGAGACCTTCCGATCTGTTGGATTTGATGCCTGTTGGGATCTCGCCAAGGATCGCTTCGTCCCACTCGGGGCTCTGATTCAAGGAATACTGCCTCGAGAGCAGCGGTAATGGCGCCGTGACGGAAGGCCATGCCCGATCACACTTGAACACCCAGGCTTCTGGGAGGATGCATTCGTGTGGTGACTTCAACTCAGCAATAA